TGCTCTCCATCCCTTCACTGATGCACGAGAAGTCTTGCTGTAAGGTTGTGATGGGCTCCTGCCACTGTTTGGAAACTTCCACTGCCTCCCGTTTCCTAATGAGTGAAGTGTGATGTCAATCTCATACTTGCACATGCATGGCTCTTGCTCACTTCCGAGTTTCTACCGATGCCAAGCCCATCTGCTTGCCTTCTTCCTGTTGCCTTGCCCTCTGTTTGGGCTACAACCTTGGTTAGATGCCTCTGTCATGGGCCCCTCCTTAAAGTCCTCTGCCTCCCCCACACACAGGTGACAGGTTCCTCCCTGTAGCTCCCACCCGACTTTGTCACGTCTGTAATGCTTGTAGATGTCTGCCTGTCTCTGATGCCTTTGGAGCTGCAGTCTCTGAGGACAGGGTCTGTGTCTCCTTTAGTTTTGCACACCCACAGCCCAACCCTGGCAAACAGGGCGGCAGACCTTCATCCATGAAATCCTAACTGGATGTGAAAGGAAGGAGATTACCAGAGGAAGGAGACACTGATGTAAATGAGGCTTTGCACAGAATACCTGTTATTTCCAAGCGTCTTTGGAGGAAAGAGGATTAGGGATTAGGGGCCAGGAAGAAATCCAGGCAGTTCTTAGGACCCTTGGGTTCCACACTGGTGGATTCTACTAGCCACAGAGAGCTGTGGTGCTCAGGGGAAGACATCTGCATATGGTCTGAACATGCACAGGCTTTTTAAAATCTCTTGTCACAATTCCCTCAGAAAACATAGAGTAACAACTATCTGCATAGTGTATTGTTATACATAATTAGAAATGACTTAAAGTCCACAGCAGGATGACTGTAGGTTCTAGGCAAACACTATCAGACATCCATAAAGGATGGGGCATCTGTGGGAATTTTGTGGGAGATTTTTGTTTGTTTTTGTTTGTTTTTATTTTTTATCAGAGATCACTTGAGGGTATTTGAGAACTATCCTCAGGGAGGATGAGAAGTGTGTACACAATGGCTTGAAACAGGGGGGCAGGTCTGACTTGTCCATGAGCTGCCACCTGGACACATGGAGGGGCTGGCATGAGACAGGCAAGTTGGGACAGAAAGGGGAGTCTAGCAGTGAGGTACCAACTCAGAGGCTTCAGGAAACAGGATGTGAAGCAGAGGCAGATATGCAAACAATGATCCCTTCTGCTAGATGCTCTGCTCCAGACAGGCAGGCTGCTTCCAAATGGGGGAGGGGGAGCAGACTAACAAAACACACCCAAGAGGGGCTTTGGAAGAGAAAAGCTGCTTGTTTCTCTTCTTGACCATCGTTAATGATGCTCAGGGGCTGCTGTGAGCGTCTTTTTCCATCTTGCCCCTTCCTGGTCTTTTGCAGTTCCAGAGAGCATCACAGGTCCCGTAGCTCTCTCTTCAAATACTGCAGACCTGTTCATGGCCCGTCTCATGGGTGATTAAGCAGGGATTCATTTAAAATCTGCTTCCAGGATTGATGGTGTAGCACATTAATCAATACAGTATTTGCCTAGAACGTAGGGTCCAGTCCCCTGCAACACACACACACACACACACACACACACACACACACACACACACACAGACACTCCAGTGCCCTCAAGCATGAACACAAAGCTTTAAGATCTGCATCTACTATGAGCAAGAGAGCAGTTTAGGGGCAAGGCCACTTTTCATGGTACATGTTTAACGCTCAACAAGTATATGTTGAATTGAGCAGATAAACAGTGAATTCAACCACCATTTAATGAGTGGGTGAAGCTGGCTTGCATCCAGAATGCAAGATCAAGGAGTTAGAATTAGTCAGTAAAAGAGAGACAGTGGGGAAGGGCCAGCCCTACCGGATCCATCAGGTAACCTAGCAATCAGCCTACCCTACTGCCATAGGCTGGTGAACTAATGACACAAAATCATTTTTGCAGTTTTGAATGTTAAAAAATAAAAACAGTAAGATCTCATAACACATAAAAGTTACCTGTCATTCATATTCCAGTGTCCAATCATAAAGCCCCTCCCCTTTTGCCATTCGTAAAGATTTATTAGAACATAGCTGCACTCGCTGAGATACATACTCTCTGTGTGACTGTTCATGCCACAGTGATAAAATTGAGCTGTGACAGAGACCCTGACCTTTCCGATCTAACCTAATTAGCACCTGGTCTGTTAGAGAATCTGCTTGCCAACCCGAGGAACACCCTATACTCCACAACCCCAAGGAAGTTCTGACCTATTGGTATATAAAAAGTCGGAATCCTGGAAGGAAGCTGCCAGATACCATCCGTGGATATAAAATGTGGCCGTGTTTCCATTCATAAGTAGAATAGTAATTAAATTAACGGCAGCACATTCCTAACGCACAGTGATTAAAAGGAAGGAGTTAGGTGGAAATGCTCAAAGCACAGAACAGTGTCTACAATAAGTTGTTCTCGTGGTTCAAAGGATAGAGCGGATTGCATTTGTAATTTATATTTAAGACACTGGCATGTCTATGCATAGAAGAGAGAGACCATAAATGTCTCAAAGGATATAAGTGATAGTGACTGGGGGTTTTAAATATAAATTTTAAAATTAATTTTATAAAATTTTTATGTGCACTGTGTTGGGTTTCAGACCCTGGAACAAATAGCTGAGGTGCATATTTAACATACCAAAGGAGACCTGGTCTCCAGGTTCTCCCAGTTCCCCTCAGTCGCTACCTGGCATACCCTGTCCTCAACCCTGAACTGTCCAGCCCAGGGGCTGGGCCGCCCTTCCCCCAGAGGCTCTTTGCTATATACGCTAACATTTCGGTCTCTCCTCTGCTCTCTCTTCTCTTCCTCTCTTTGCACGTAGTGTTCTTTCTCTCTTTCTCTCCTCCCTGTCCTCTGCTTTCCTCCTTACGGTGACTTCCCTGACTTCATTCCATTCTGGGACCAGTGAACTCGCCAGCCCCAGAGTGGTTTCCCCAATTAACCTGCCTTTATATATGCTCTAATGTCACTTGGAAATGGCTCATTTCGTCTTGGAGAAATAACTTATCCCACTGGTGTCTTTCCTGCACATTTGTCTGTGTGAGAGTGTTGGATCCCCTGGAACTGGAGTCACAGATGGTTGTGAGCTGCCTACTGGGTGCTGAGAATTGAACCCAGGTCCCCTGAAAGAATAGCCAGTGCTCTTAACCACAAAGCCAGCTTTCCAGCCCCCAACAACTGGGGATTTTTATTGTTGATTTGAATCTCATTTTTATTCACTGGTGTTTGAACCCTGAGAATGTACTATTCTTTAGCAGAGAGAAAGTCAGAGACAGAGAGAGAGAGACACACACACAGGGAAAGACAGAGAACACCTAGAAAGGCACTTTCTCTATTTTCCTTTGCAACAGACTGTCTAATTTGAAACAAGAACAAATCCACCCAAATTCTTGCTCTTGAGCTCATCCAGTCCAAACTCTGCACTGCACAGATGGAGATCTGTGTTCAGACACCCACTCCCCAGGGGAACAGCACTGAAGTAGTTGCTCCCCAAGGGGAGGTGCATTCAGTCACAGGCACCCCTGAAACATCTAGGCTCCCTGAGCATGGTGAAGCTGCTCGAGTATCTGTTTTGAGGAAGTTTGAGATTAGAACAGCTAAAAACAGCTCTACTTCCTTTTTCCTAGAAACTTTGGTCACCTCTCTTCAAGGAGGTTGCCCTGCTGAGCAAGCAGGTTAGGGTGCTTGTGGTATGGACAAGCCAGCTACCTAAGTAGCAGCTGTGTCTTGGCTGCTGCCTGTCTTCTCACCGGCAGCCCCGCTCAGTACAGGCTCAAAACCAGAAGTCATATTAACAACATCCACACCCCAGGTGGCAAGATACAGGTATGAAGTCGTATGGACATGGAAGACAGAGGTAGAGTCAGGACTGGAGAACAGGCAGAAGTTCACAAACTGCTTGAGCACATGTGTTTAAGATGCCCACCAAATCCAATTTCCCTTCTGTTCCATCCCCTGGTTTTCTCGAGGTAAAATCCTTGGGGACATAGGGAGATCAGGGCATTTCAGCGGCCTTATTCTTCTGCCTTCAACCTGAACAGTGTCTTGCTTAACTTGTAATTAGACCAGCCATATGCACAACATTGAAAAATCATCTCCACATTGTAGTCATTTGGGAGGTCCAGGAAATTTTAACTACTTGGGGGCATGGAGTTCTAGTCCTATTCAACTCAGAGATATGTGCGGAATAGTTTGGTGAATGGATGTAGGTGTCTAATCCTAGCACCTGGGAGGCTTTCTGTCACAGGAGAACTACCATGCATTCAAGACCAGTCTGGGCTGTATGGTGAATTCAGAACAGCCAGGCCTACCAAATGAGACCCTGTTTCAAAAGAATGAGGAGAGAAGAGAGGAAGGAAGGAAAAAGAAAGGACAAAGTATGGAGATGAGGGGCGGGGGTGGCGGGCAGGGACTCAGTGCTAAGGGAGAGAATGAATGATCCCTACATAGCTCCACCATTGCCAAATGGACAATCCACAAAGCTGCAGCCAGTGAGGTAGATACTTCTGTTGAGAAAACGGTGTTGTAGAAAAATTAAGGAGAGTATTTGCAGTCTCTGTTCTGAATCCCCAGTACAACTAGAACAGTCAGAGTTTCTAGACAATGTGGATTACCTCGGCCTATAGAACTAGCTTCTGAAGTCATCTCTGAACAGTGTAGTCGTAGATCCTAAGGTCGAGTTCAAATGTAGGTGAGTGTGAGGTGTCAGGGATTCTGGGAATCTTGAAGGACAGCTGTCCTTTGGAGTTGCTTCCAGAACACAGACTCAGGCCCTAGCATCCAGCACCACGGACAAGCAGGACACTGCAGTAGCCCTAGTCATATGTTAAACAATTCTAGAGTCAAGGGGTTAAGATGCCAGCTTACCTTTCCTTGGGTCAAGTTTATCAAGAAAAAGCCCCCAAATCAGAGAATGGAGAGGGAGGAAGAAAAGCACCCCTAGGAAGAGGCAGACATCTGGGAGTTAGAAAAGGCTGCTCCTGAGCAGGACTCACCATTGGTAGCCGTGTTGACATAGTAACGGCGGCCCTGAGGAGACAAGTAGCTGTGCCAGCCAGGTGGAAGGATGACCGTCTGGCTCTCCTCTCCTGGCGGAGGGGGGACCATCCCAGGCTTCTGTTGAAGAAAAAGGCAAGGGTCAGACACATTTGCCATTTTCACAACTGTTCTGAACCACAAAACCACTTTGAAATCACTCAAGTGAGATAGATTGGCCTGCAGGCCTCTTTGGGGGTAGGTGACACGTAGTATGAGGGTGCCCTATAGAAGGCATGGTTCCACCAGAGCAGACAAAAGAACCGCCCTTCTTCCCTGTCAGACCCTGCAAAAATTAATCACAGGGGCTGTGCTTGCCAGGGAGTCTATCACTCCACATGCCCTATTGTGGACTGCAGTCTACACCTGCTGTGGACTGTGCAGTCTGTGCTCCATAGGACCACCGAGTACAGCAGCAGACAGCCCCAGGCCTGCTGTGCAAACCTAGTAGAAGTAATTAATGCAAGTCGTGGCAGAACAAAGTGTAAAACATTCTATAATAATGTTGAGAGCTGGCTTGGGTTTCTCTCTCAACGTGCCATGTCACCGTGGCAAAGGGACCCAGAATTTTTAAGACAAGCCAGACACCATAGGCTTGATTCTTGTTAGCCTTGCACAATAATATCCATCCTAAAAGACAGAAGAATATGTAAGCAGGAACATTAGGCGTAAGGCGGGTACATGTTGTAACAGCATCTGTGATTCCTCCGTGGTGGGATTATAGGTGATTTTTATTATCCTTTTTCTACTTATATTTTCCATGTAAGTCTCCAATAAACACAGAAATAAAGGCTCTCAGTTAAAGGACATTTTCAAATAAAGACAGAGGATCCAAATTAGCCCACACAATTGTTGTACCTTTTGCAGAAGGTTAAATGGACAGAAATCAGAATTCCAGCCACAAAAGTCCAAGAGTTTCTTAGCAAAACCTGTTTAGAAACTTAAGGGTCAGCCACCAGGTCCTCAGTGTCCTCATTGTCCCCTGCTGTGTACACAGGAGCAGCTCCTTTGGTTACCAAGGACTAATACGCAGGGACACAGGATCATGGTGGAAACTGGAGCAGTGAAGTGTGCACTCTGATGCCCCTCTCCTGTCTGCTTCTCCAGGGCTTTGTCTCAGCATCCTGTGCTGGCCTCTGTACCATAAAAGGAAAGCACAAATCCCCTGTGCTGCTGGGAGTAAGCATGGCTCCCTTCAGCCTTCTGTGTAGCCATGGTGCCTGTCATGAATTCTCACAACTCTTTCTCTGCTCTCAGAGGTGTGTCTCCTGCACAGGCACCTGCTGAGCCCACAGCTTCTCTTTGATCATGTATGAAAGACTATGCTCTAGACAGGTGACGCTGAGGTACACAGCAACTGAAAGTGCTGTGGAGTCCTCCTCACTGGCACAGACCGTACACCAAGCACAAATAAACCTGAAAACAAGTGAGATTGGCTCTGCACACGGCCCTGCACACCTCTCTAGTGCCTCCTGGCCTGGGCGATGGCCAGAATACAGGCAATACAAATAGTGTAATGATGAACAGAGGGGGAGTGAAAAGCCGGGTGGGATAGAGCAGGCCTGTGATTCCAGCACTTGGGGTGGGGAGGGGGGCGAGGTGGGAGGTCACGAGGCCAGCCTAGGCTACACAAAGGACCTATCTCAATAAAACCAAGAGTTAATGAATGAGAAGAGAGAGAAAAGAAGGAAGCAAGGGAGGCATGGAGGAGGGAGGGAGGGAGGGAAGGAGAGAGAGAGAGAGAGAGAGAGAGAGAGAGAGAGAGAGAGAGAGAGAGAGAGAGAGAGAGATGTAGGAGCAATGGAGGCAGATATTCACGTGTCTGTAGCAGTCAAAGGTAGTTGGTATATCTAGGTTGGGTACTGTTTTACACTTCTGATTATATGGGCATCTTGTTACTGATCATTACCAAATATATAAGCTTTTGGATAATTTAAGCATTAGAGTCTCATTTTCCTACTGGGCCCACATGGATGGCGGGATGGTCTGGGCAATGCCCAGCCTTGTGGAGACAGCATGGGAGATTGAGCCATCTCCCATGCTGACATCTCGTGGGTGGCAGGGCTGGTGTTTCTGGCTGGCTGTTTCTAGCTGTGGGCGCACACGTGGCCTCCAGCTGAGAAGCATAGCGGCTGAGCTAGGTAGAGCCAATACAGCTTAGATACTCGGCTTGACCAGAGGCCGTTTTAAATAATTACCTCAACATAGATGGATCCATGGTGAGGCCTGGGAAGCTGTTGAAGGTGGTTAAGCAAGACTAACAGCTCACAGGAAGGCACTGCACAGAGAGGATTCAGGGACGCAACAGCCTCAGGCTCAAAGCATCCCTGCCAAGGCTACCTCAGCCAAGCAGCCACTGCTTGACCTCAGGCAAGTGACTCAGTCAGGCTATTTTCATGTCTATGAAGCAAAAGATGCTAAAGTTGGCCCAGGTGTGGGCCCTGCTGGGGAGGATCCATCGTAACACACTCAGATCCCAAAAGAGGGTACACCTCCAGGGTTGTTCGGGAGATGGGTGAATCTCACCAGAAGGGGTACACAGATGCTGGCTCTACCATCTCTCCCAGGCTCTACCCTCTGAGAGCTGAAGTCTGGACAGACATACTGACCTCCCCTCCAACTGCCCCTTCAGCATGTCTGAAACATCCTCAGCAGCTGTTCTCTGAGGTTTTTGCTGCCAACGCTACCTGAGCAATGGTTGAAAGGGACACCAGTACCATCTGGAGCTGACTAATTTTGGGAAGGCTGCTCAAGGAAGAGTCCTGTGGGCTAAGAGAGAGTGAACTGAGCCTTCTGATACCCCAGAGGACCAGCTTTGAAGGAACTGTAAGGAGCCTGACCCTCCTCAGATTTTCAGTACTTTCTCTTTGGAATGACTTTGATTAATCTATTTGCCTAACTCAGTGAGCTCATAGGAAGCCTCGGTTTATACACAAGGACATGGGTGACCACTAAGGTACATTGTCTTGAGGTCTCTCCTCTCTAGGGAGTGCAAGGATCTTTGAGGGAAGCACTGAGGCATAGCATTGGGCCAGGAAGGCCATAGAAAGAGTGGGAGAGCACCCATTGGCTGGGCCTAGTTCCTAAAGTGGCTGATGTGCTGTGCTGAGGCTGGTTTCCACACTTGTGAAACACAGCCACCAACTGGCTGGCTCTCCCTGCTGGCCACCAGACTGCCTTGCCTTCATCTCCAGAGCCTGCTGCAACCCTCTTATCTTTTTCTTTCTTAGGAAAAAGTCTTTCTTGCTAGCTGACCCTCACAAATCAGTAGTCAGAAGATGCTGGAGACAACTGAGGGGGTCCTTTCCCTCGGGAATAAAAACAAGCCTCCGAAAAAGGTGCACAAGGGCACTCAGGGCAGAAATATTCACAAAGGGCAAACAGTGGAGACAACACAAAGGACCATCCCTAAGGCTATGGATGAAACATGGGATAGCCATGCAATGGAATATTACTTAGGAATGAAAAGGAATAGGGTTCTGGATCTCACTACACCATGGCTGGGCCTTAAAGTCACCATGCTAAGTGAAAGAAGTCAGATCACAAAGGCCACATGTAGTCTCTTTCCATTATGTGACATTATGTGACACATGGCAGGCAATGTCACAGAATACACTAGTGGCTACAGAGGGATATGGCCTGGAAGATGAATACAGGGTTGCTCTCTCTCTCTCTCTCTCTCTCTCTCTCTCTCTCTCTCTCTCTCTCTCTCTCTCTGTGTGTGTGTGTGTGTGTGTGTGTGTGTGTGTGCGTGAGAGAGAGAGAGAGAGAGAGAGAGAAATGGTCTAAAATAGGGAGTTGTCATGGTTACACAATATAATGAGTGACAAGTGCTATGCATGGTCAATTATATATAATATATAATTCTCTTCTTCTGGGCTCTATAGGCATTGCATACATGTGATGTGTAGACACACATGTGATGCTCAGACACACATGTGATGTGCAGACACACTCACATACATAAAATAAAATCAAAACTTTTAAAAACATGCGAAGGCACAATTTTATAACCACATCACCTGACAGTTCTTATGTAAGGGCCCCTGAGTATCAGTGTTCCTCACTCTTATGGCCTCAGAGGGGCAGGAACAGCAGCCTTCTAGGAGATCTGCCCACAGCCACCAGACAGGTAGAGTGTGGATGACCACCTAGCAATTAAGGAATCCCTTGAATTTCTTCCCGAATTAGTTCCCTTCCTGGTTACATTCTTCCCTTTTGTGCTGGTTGGTTGTGTCAACTTGACAGAAACTAGGGTTATTTGGAAAGGGGAACCTAAATGAGAGAAAGTCCCCATTAGATTGGCCTGCAGGAAAACCTGTGGTGCATTATCTTGATTTATAATAGACGTGGGAGGGCCCAACTTACTGTGGGCAGTGCTGCCCCTGGGCTGGTGATCCTGGGTTCTATAAGCTAGTAAGCTGAGCATGCTGTGAGTAAAAAATCAGTAAGCATGCTCTCTACCTCCGTTTCTACTTCCAGGTTCCTTCCCTGACTTCCCTTGATGATGGAAGTGTAACCCGAGCATTGTACACTGAAACCACCCCTATACCAGTTAATTGTGGTCTTGGTATTTCATCACAGCAATAGAAACCCAACTAGGACACTTTCCTTCCCCTGGTCCTTATGTCTCTTCTCCTCATCTTGCTTGCTTCTTTCCCATGGGAAGAGGAAGGAAGAGCAGAAGGGAGTGCATAGTAGGGCTACAACCCCTAGAACAGACAAGATCAGAGGGAGCCGAATGGGGTGTGTGATGGTGAAGGTTCCTGCTAGGGAAGGCTTTCTGAGTACAGCACATGGGATGTCTCTGCTGGAATTATAAAACTCTGTCTCTGCCTCTTGAAGGAGCCATCACCAGGCCAGAGTCCAAGTCTGGGTTTCGGTCCTTCCCATTCTACCTTCATTTATTCAAGAAACAACATGCTTAACTGTACACATAGGCTCATACTCTGAGGATATGAGGGAAGACTTCAGCCTTTTTTTCCCTTCTCCAAATAGGTGTAAAGGTCTTCTGTGGTGTCACACCAGATAGCACACTATTTTTAAAATTCTGTGTACTACTATACTGTATGAATAGACAT